AAATTAGTAACTATATATATATATAATTATAATTATAAATTATAAATCGGACAGAGTATAAGATATATGATTTGTTCTTGTTACGAGTTTCTTTTTTATATTAGTTTCGTTTTTGTCTTCAGATTTCGAATGGGCTGTTCAACTGAATCGTTTTAGTTTGAAACTTATTGGTCTCTGGCCAGAAGAAAATGTCAGTTCATATGAAAAAATGAGTTCCAATTTACGACTGCTTTGTGTTATCATTACCATCTCATGTGTGTGTACTACACCTTCTGTGCACTTATTATTAAAAGTTTGGGGCGATATAACAGCAATGATCGACAATATCCTATTCACTTTACCATTACTAACAGTCTCTTTGAAATTGTTAATTATGTGGTGGAAGAAGGAAAGTAAGTAAATAATGAGAAATAAATGATATATATCTCTTTATATCATTTTTACATAATTATTAATCAATTTTAGGCTAAAATATTTTTAAAAATTTTAAAATTATATATATATATTTGCAAACATACATTTATGCATCGCAATATTTACCTATTACATTTTTGTATAAGTTCTTTCAATAATACATATAATAAATTTCGTTGATGATGCTATTAATAATAAATATTTCTTTTAAGCATTAGCACCATTGATGACCATGATAGTACATGATTGGATCAAGCTAAAATCTACTGACGAGCGAGATGTTATGATATATCGTGCGCAAAATGCTCGATTAATTATTGCATTTAGCTATTTTATAATGATCTTGTCACTAATAATATTGATTGTTGCTTCAGCTTTTGGATATACTCTCAGACACATAACAAACATTACCGATACGGACAGGCCACTACCGTTACAGGCATATTACATGTATGATACATCTGTTAGCCCACAGTTTGAATTTACATTTTTTATTCAATGTATCAGTCTATTGATGGTTGCACTGTCTTATACGGCTATCGATAATTTTCTTGGATTGCTCATCTTTCACATCTGTGGCCAATTGGAAAATTTAACGAAACGCTTGTGCCGAATGCACGAATCCAAGGACTTCATTATGGCTTTAAGAATCAACATCAATGATCATACACGGCTTATCAGGTTT